CTTCTTCTTCTTCTTCTTCTTCCTCTTTCTTCTTCTTCTTCTTTGTCTTCTTCCAGGGTTGTTTCTTCTTCTTCTCCTTCTCCTCCTCCTTCTCCTTCTTCATGTTTTTTGCTTGCAGAAAAAGCGGGGGAGAGTAGCAGCCCAATGTAGTCCATTGAATTTTGTTTTTAAAGATTTTATTTTATTTTTTCAGAAGTGTTTTTTTTTTTTAAGACTTTATTTATTCAACAGAGAGAGAGCAAGCACAAGCAGGGGGAGCAGCAGGCAGAGGGAGAGGGAGAAGCAGACTCACCACTGAGCAAAGAGCCCTATGTGGGGCTCGATCCCAGGACCCTGGGATCATGACCTGAGCCGAAGGCAGACGCTTAACTGACTGAGCCATCCAGGTGCCCCTAAAGATTTTATTTTTAAGTAATCTCTACACCCAACCCGGGACTCGAACTCACGACCCCGAGATCAAGAGTCACATGCTCTGACTGAGCTGGCCAGGCACCCCTAGTCTGCTAAATTTTCGTCTGTGAAATCCAGAAGCATGGAACCTGCTGGTGAAAGCCACCTGCCACCTGCCACCATGATGGCATTCGTCACCTTGGGGTTGGCGACCTCTCCTCAGGTATGCTCTTTCCAGAGTCAGCTCAGCCTCGCTCTGCTCTGCCTTCACCACTTGAATTCCTCCCAGCAAGACTCGGCCACTCGGAAAACACTCAGTGAGCCCCCGCTGAATGCCCCCTGCCCCCCTGCCAGCCCGTACTCAGCACTTTGAGAGCAAACAGAGTCCACAGTCCTTCTCACCTCCATCTCTCTCACTTGCTAACTGCCCTCACCTTGACTGACCTTGGTTAGCATCCAAAGAACCTCCAACCTTCTAATTCTCCCAAAGTGTCCTTTCTTCTTCATCTTTGCTTCTCTTTGTGGCCACCTTGGCCCCCAGTGGTCTCCAAACCTTTCCCATAGCACTATTCCATCAGTAACAAAGTTTTGAACACAAACCTCCAGTGTATGCATATTTATTTTTTAGAAGTTCCGTACATGTACATGTCACGTGATAAAATAGACAAACAGGCATCGTGAAGGAGGAAGCAAGAAATATAGTAGTCCCCCCTGATCCATGGGGGATCCCCTCCCAGAGCCCCACGAAACTGTGGATAGCACTGAACCTTGGGTACATTATTTTTTCTCCTATACACACATACCTGTGATCAAGTTTGATTTAGAAATTAGGCACAGTAAGAAATTAACAATAAAAGACAACAATTATACCAATATACTATAATAGTTATGTGAATGTGGTCTCTCTCTCCTGAGCTCCAGAGCCACGTGACTCATGTCCTTCTAGACACTTCTTACATATTTCATGAGCTCCTCCATCTCCACATGTCCAAAAATGTTACTGTCTTCTCCCCAAGCCTGCCGCTCTGCCCCCTCCACCCTCCACCCCTGGCCTGTCGGAAACCAAGCAAGGCGGCAAGGTGCCTCACCTGTGAGGGCCGACGGGTCCTTAAATCCTACTGGTCTCTCTCTGAATTCTCTCACATCTCGGCCCGACTTCTGCTGGCTCTGCAGGGCCCCCCTTATTTCTTACCAACCGGTCCCCCTACTCAAGTCCCCCCCCCAGTCCTTATTACTGCCACAGTCCTCCCTTAGACTCAGTGATCACCCAGGTTGTGTTGAGGACCCAGTTCCAACTCAATTTGGCTCACAAGGACCCACACCTTCCCGGCTTCACTTCAGACCGACCCACAGTTCCCCTGAACACCTCAGTGTGCTTTTCTCACCTGGAATGTCCATCCTTCCCTTTCCTACTGCTTCTTCTGCACGGGGGAGATGCTGTGGTCTTCCCTGATCCCACACCTCCCTTCCCATGCAACCAGCACCAGTCCCATGCCTCCCTCTTGTGTTTCCTAACCCATGGAAATACACATGCCCTCAAGTGTTTCTTTTTCTTAGAGAGGAGGTAGGGGAGGGGGAGAGGGAAAGAATCCTAAGCAGGCTCCACGACTCAGGGCTCGATCTCATGACCCTGAGATCATGACCTGAGCCCAAATCAAGAGTCAGATGCTTAACCAACTGAGCCCCCAGGCACCCCAGTATTTCTATAGGTAGCTATCTGTGTTTATATTAAACTGAATGTGAGCTCATACCAGGATCTCCAACGTTCATCTAGGACCACGTGGATCATCCCAGGCTCCCTGTCTTGGCTTATCTCCACCAGTGAGATGGCTCTCACCATCTGCCATCCATTTACTTAATTGCTTAATTCCAGTTATACATGGATAGTGGTCTCTTGCTGCATTTTTACCTATGGGTTTATTTGTCCTCAAGATCAATGCTCATTCTCAAGCTCTTAAAAATAACTAAGTACAGAATACATGCCAGCCACTGATCTAAACACCATAAACATATTTTTTCATCCTCGTTACCATGTGAGACACTTGTTATTAGTTCTGTCTAACAGAAGAGGAAACTAACATACAGGAAAGCCGAGCAGAAAGTGCATGTCACACCATCACGAAGTGGCAGGACCAAGGACTGGAGCTCCAGCCTCCTGGATTCTGAGATCCCAGCTGGACCGCTCCTCCGTGTTGAGAGCTCCTGCTGTGTGCGGCTGGTTCCCGTGCCCCCTTGGCACAGCAGGTCCCTGCACTTGGAGGTCAAGGGTGCCCCAACCCCAGCAGGGGACTCTTCACTTCTGGGCCCTCGTTACTCCTGTGAGTTATTTAATTAATCACCTGTAGGATCCCCATTCCACCCCTACAAAGGCTGCTCCTAATCCTACCTCTGTCCCACCCTGTTCCTGGCTCTGCCTCCTTCATGCCCGGGAGCAGATCTCGCATCCTGTCCCCCCTCCCGCCACACACACACGCACGCGCGCACACACATGTGTGAACGTATGTCTTTAAGAAAAGCCCCCAGCTCTGCTGTATGTGCCATATGTGCGGGGGGGCATCCCTCCTCCTCCCGGCCCCCCTTCCCCGTCTCACTTTCAGGGCCTCTCGGTGTTCGCCATGCACCTGAAGACATGCAGAGGAGCCCCAATCTTAAATTTTAAAAAATCACCACTCTGTGAACACCTCATCTCTCGCTGCTCCCCTTCTTCCAGCAAATACTGTCTCAGCACCTCCTCCACGCCAGGCCCTGTTCTAGGCAGGGATTCCGGGACAAACCCGCACCCTTGAGTGGCTGATGCTCCAACACAGACTGCTTGAAGGAGCAGGCAGGCACCGCCCCCCCGTGTCTTCTACCTGCTCACAGGAAAGAAGCATGTGTTGGTGAGAAGTGATCATACGTGTTTTCCTGAGCATACAGAGGCAATGCCAATGTCCTCCAGCAATATAATTCACGATTAATAATCTCTGACTCGTTGATGTCTCCGCAGGGACCTGCCCCAGGTTCTTAGACATCATTACTTGGGACATCACATATTCCAGGGCTGGTATTCCTGGAGATGGATCTGGCAGGAGGAAGAATGCCTCCGGTCCCGAGCAGACCCGTGGGATTGCAGAGGAGTTCATTTCTCCGGCCAGATGGGGTTCCTTCTGTCCCGCCGCTGTAGTAAAGACTTTTGTCGTAAGAGCTGGTGTTATTAGGAGCCACCCAACGGCGAACCCACTTGGTGAGGGGCGCCTGCTCACAGCGAGTCGGGGTTGGTGGTGGGTCAGTCTGGAGAGAGCACAGAAGCCCTTTGGACAGTCCCAGTGGGGCCTGCGTTCCACACCGGGCTGGTCCTAGTTCCGGGTGTTCACAGACACCTGTCGGTCAGAAAGCAAGCCCCGGAGGGAAGCTCCACACAGACCCACTTAACAGGCTCCTCTGCTCGAGTTAGTGCCCGAAGCAGAGACTGGAAAGTCCTTTAGTTCCTCCTTCTCTGGGTGCACCTCTGACACTTTATTCATCTTGGTGAAAATCTGATTGATCTCCATGAATGTCTTGGCCTTGGTCTCAGGGACAACCTGGAAGATGTAGACGGTGGTGAGGAGACAAATCACAGCAAAAATGATGAAGCTGTAAGGTCCGAGGCCCACCTGTGGGAAAGGGATCGGGGTTCACATTCTCGAAAAGGTTCTCCCTTTACCGCTTGAGGATTTGCACATCCGGGGCCCCCGGGGCGCACTCACTTGGATGAAGGGGAAGATCAAGCCCACGGTGAAGTTGGAGAGCCAGTGGATGCTGCCCCCCACCATGAAGGCGGACGGCCGGGAGGACTGCAGGAAGATCTCCGTGATCAGTAGCGCGGGGATGGGACCTGGGCGGGGCGGGGGGCAGAGTGGGAGAAGAGGAAGGGCTGCCTTCTCTGGAAGCACAGCAGGCCCATAAAGGGTCCCAGAGCCCCTGCCGTGCCGGGGCCCCGAGGGGCAGTGTGTCTCCGGGACTGCTGGGCTGGTGGCAAAGCACAGTGAGGAGGCCAACAGCAAGAATTGAGCACCACAGGGGACACCCTGTGATGTCCCAAAAAGGGGCCTGTGACCACCCGTAAGGATCTCTACGCCAACTACACAGCCCGTTTCAACCCACATAGTCGAGGCTGCTTTATTGCTTTCAGTCTAATTATGCTCTGTCCACACCCCTTTGCGATAGGAAGGTAGGGGGAGAAGCCATTTTGGGGCTGCATCCGGCCCTCCAAGGAGCCTCTCCGGGGAACAGAGGTTTCTAGGGCTGATGGTGCTGAAGAGGAGACCAGGGAAGCATAGAGCCAGCTCTGGGGTACGTACTGGGCCCAAGGGCGTGTCCTATGACGTAGGAGATGATGCAGGTGATGCTGACATAAGGCATCCAGGATATTGTGTCCTGTGGGGAGAAAACAGGGTGGGATCACAGCCGGCAAAGCAGGGACAACCGGGGATGGGGAACGTTGGGAACCTAGGTCCCCAGAGGGCCAGGCGCTCTGCCAGGGCTGGGGCAGGAGGGCTCCTGGCTCCTCCAACAGGCAGCACCAACCGGATGCCCCCGGAAAACCGGCCGTTAGTTGGCAGTGGGTTGCTACGGGGTGGGGGTGACGGGGGCTGCAGATGGTCCCCAGGCATCTGATTCAGTGCAGCTGCTAAAAGATCATTCTGGTCTTCTTCCTTGTACTGCAGGCAAGGGCGCAGGGGGTGGACAGGACACAGCCCCCCCTTCCTCACCTGCAGGGCCAGAGCGGCCGTGAGCACACAGCAGGCCGTGAAGCAGACGGAGAAGCCCAGGAGGAGTAGGACCCGCCGCCCCAAGAGCTCCACCACAAACACCTGGAAGGCAGGGGGCAAAGGACAAGCAGGGAGGCTCAGGAGCCCCGCCAGAAAAGGGGGGCGTACCCCCGCCTAGAGCTGCCCTCACAGGTTGCAACCCGAAATGTCAGACACTGGGGAGGAGCCACTTCACACGGTGGAAGCTTCCAGAGTCGGGGGCAGGGGTCTCCATCTTGGGGGGGGTGCATAGATTGTCATCTGACAAGAGCCCAGAGGCTGGAGATGAGGACACCAAGAGGCACCTCAGCTCCAGCCCTGTCCTCAGCTAGGACCCCCCTCCCCACTCCTAAGATGCCCTCCATGCGTGGTGCTGTCGGACTCACGGCACAGACGGTCATCAGCACGTTGACAGCCCCCGTGCCCACCGTCACATACTGGACGTCATGATCGTTCACCCCCGCGCTCAGGTAGATCTGGTCTGCGTAGTAGTAGATCTGGAAGGTACCCCCAGAGGCTGGTGGGGCCCTCGGGACAACACCTGCGACATGGCCCCCCGCCCCCGCGGTGACATCAGCCACCGGCCACCCGCCGCGCCCCCGGGCCCCACTGTCCCCATACTGCGTTCACTCCTGACAGCTGCTGGCCGCCCATGAGGATGATGATGGAGATGACCTGCCACCGCAGGGACCTCATGCTGAACAGCTTCAGCACAGAGATGAAGCCCGCGGCCTTCTCGGCCTCGTCCTCCTGCCAGATCTCCTCCATCTCCGAGCCCACGTCGTCCCAGCCGCGCAGCCTCTTCAGCGCTAAGGGACGGGAGCAGGGGGTCGGCTCAGGGCGCCCCAACTCCCCGGAGCCAGGACGCTGTGGCCTCCGTCCCCTGACCCAGCACAGTAAAGCTTTACCATTTCTGGCAGCTACTTCATCCTTCTTCTGAATCAGCAGGTACCGGGGGCTCTCGGGGAAGAAGGGCAAGAACAGGAGCTGCAGGGCCGCCGGGATCCCGGTCAGCCCGAGGAGGATCGGCCAGCCTGCAGGCAAGCCAGTGCCCACATGAGAGCCGGCCCCAGCCAAGTCACCTGCCTTCTGCCCCTCCAGTCCCCCCCGCCCCCTTGGAGCCCAGCCGGCCACTCTGTCCCAGACTGGTTTCCTTAAGAGCCAGACACAGAGCTGGTCCACTTAACATGGACCTAGGACCAAACCACCGGGATGTGTATCCTAAGGAGACCCCCGTCCATGCTCAGGACTCTGCCGGGGCCACCGGGACACCTGAACTGGACCGGTCTGCGCCGCACTGACCATAGAAATGAAAACGACCAACAAGGCAAATGCCCACGATGGTAGAATGGACACAGGAAGCATGGGGTATTCACAAAACAGAATCCTATACTGCACTGGGACGGAAGCAAGCCACGACAGGAGCCCGTCCCAGAAACCCAATGCTGGGGGCAGTAGCCCACACCATGCGGTCCAACCGGATGAAGTCCAGAAACAGAAAATTAACTCCATCTTTGCAAAAGGTGGTAAACAGCTATAGGGAGACGCAAGGATGGGGTGACAAATGTCAGCACGGTGGGGGTGGGCAGGCCATGGTTGAGGGGCACGCAGAAGGCTACGGGGGGCCTGGCACGGCTCTAGTTTGGCGTCCAGACCAAACACCGGTGTTTGATTTCGGGTGGAGGGAATGTACGTTTATGTTTTATGCGGTCTTCCTTCTGTGTGTTATTTTGCACCATAAATATGGTCAAATGAGTGAATGAGTAGCTCAGGCTCCTTCTAGGAGCTGCTAACGCCCTGCCTCTCCCCCTTTTCTCCTAGGGCTGGCACTCAGTGACAGCGGCGGACGTCTGCATGCCAGGCATCTGCTCTCACGGCTCTTCATGTGTTAACTCGCTTCCCCACTGGCCACGTCGTGAGGCAGGTGCCAGGACCAACCCCCACACACCTGCAAACGCAGGCTTCCCTTGGTCCGGAATCCATCGCCCTGCACAGCCAACAGCAGGTGTGGACCTATCTCCGATTTTGGCCACTGCCGTCTGGCTCGGGCCCCCACCCCACCCCCTACCGGGAAACTCTTCTTGGAGACCCCGAACTGCCAAATCCAGACACCCCGCTGCAATCTTCTTTTCAAGAAGATTGTCGGACTTCTTCAGTCCTGTGCACCATGACCGCCTGCCTCCTGCACAGCACTCTCTTCTGGGTTTCCTTCCTTCCTTGTTCTTGAGCACCTGTTATGTGCCAGGACTCGTGCTGCAGATTCAGAGATGCCTAAGGCCAAAGCCCTGCCCTCCACACACTCTGCCCAGAGGAAGGGCACCAACAGTGAAAGAGTCTCAAAAAAGGATGGACAAATGCAGTCCACACAACATTTGTAGTTCCCCGAACTTACAAAAAAACTTCTGCGTTTCTGCCCTCCATGCCCAGGTCTGGAACGCTGGTCCTGTTCCCCCCAGTCCAGACCCTCAGCCCTCTCTGAGGCCCCCCTTGCTGGGCAGAACCAGTCACTCCCTACTGCCTACCAGCAAGCACATCACGGACACCAGGGCTCTGCAGATTGCCCTGCGTCCTGCTGATCATTTACGTGCCATCACTGGGAGACAGGAACTCAGCCCCTGAACCCCTGGTCCCTGCTCCTTATGAGGGTGATTGAAAGGGGGACAGTGGCCGCTTAACATGGACCTAGGACCAAACCACCGGGATGTGTATCTTAAGGAGACCTTGGACGTATTATCCAACCTCTCTATGCCTCAGGTTCTGCATCTGTAAAATGGGCATAATAACAGTATCTGCTTTAGAGGGTTGCTTGGAGGATTGAATGAAATTAGTATAAAGACTTGCTGCCTGGCCCACAATAAGCACATTATACGTTCTGGCTGGTGTGACGATTAATGGTGATTTCCCTTTCGAGACCTGAGACCAGAAAGGGGGGGAGGGTTCATGCAGAAGGAGTGGCAGTTACCATTTACTGTGCACCTACTATGTGCTGGGCTTGGGTTCTCCAGGAGGGCAGTGTGGCTCCAGAGTCAGGGTCTAGAATGGGTACCAGCCCTGTGGCTCACCACCTGACCCCCAGGGGCGCCCCCCTTTCCTGGTCTATGGAATGGGACGCTCTCGGAGCATCCAGAGAGGAAAGACCAGCTCACAGAAACGTCCAGTCGGAGCGGAGGGAGGCCTGGGGTCTGGAGGCGGCCGGGGCTTACCTTCTTTGTTTGCGAGGAGGCTCCGAAGACCAAAGATCTGAGCCACGAGGATGCCGATGGTGATGAAGACCTGAGGTACCACCCCGAGGGCCCCCCTCAGGTTTTTGGGGGCCAGCTCCCCCAGGTACATGGGGACAACATTGGAAGACAGACCTGGCAGGGGATTGAAGTAAAAACACCATCAGGAAACATTAAGCCTGACAGGGACAAGCTGTGTCTTCAAACACACTCGTTCTTATCCAGCAATCACATCGGGTCTCAAAACGGCGAGAGTAAGCACCTCTTTTAATTCTTCATCCTTTAAACTGTAAGGAAAGAAATAATAGTCTGAGCCAAGGAAGTTCATCGCCAAGCAGCCTGGCTTTTCAACTCATGTCACCGGGGGCGGGGGACACGGGCGGCCTGACCTCTGGGTTGCCCTCCTAACTGGCTTGGTGCCAGGGAAGAAAAGCCCAGGTGTGGCCTGGCACCTTCTCCTCTCTGGCTCCTTGGGGGAAGCTGTTCGTACGGTGCCAAGGACCCCTGCCCACCAGCTTCGCCTTCTGAGAAGGCATATTACATAACCAACTGATGCACAGCTGAAGCTCTGTTTATCAGTAAGCACTACAAATGTAAACATATGCTATGGAATAATTACCACTTCCGAATGTCCACTATTTAAACTTTTAAGTTTTCTCGTCTTACTGGAACAAGGAAGATTAGGTGGAACTTAATTTTATAGGCTCGGAAGTATTTTCTACATAGATCATCCCATTTAATTCCCCCAAAAGCCCAACAAGATGCTGAGAATGTTGGACGGAGGTCAGGGGGGTCGTCACTAGTCCGAGTATCGAGCACCCAGTCAGGACTCAGGCTGGGGCTCGGAGAGACGCAGGTCTGAGAGGGGACTCCGGCCGCAGGGAGGCCGAGGAGAACAGTGTGGCAGCGGGTGGGTACTGGATGACATCCAGATAGGAGGGAACCTTTTGAGAACCAAGGGTTCAAGCTTGGCGATTCTCCCCAAGGGTGTCTGCTTAGTGTTTTAAAAGAGGCTCGCTGCTCATTCACGCCGGTTCTTCCCGGTTGTCAGAGCAAAGACGGGCAGTCTTTGCAGAAGCCCTGGGAAGTCTGGTGGGGTATGTGTGGGGACGCCGCAGGCCTAGCACCTAAAGGGCTGGGAGGAAGCAGGGGCCCTTGAGGGGCGGGCTCCGTGGTCACCACTCAGGGCTCGGGGTGGTGGGAGGGACCCCACATCTCAGCAGTAAGCACTTCACTTGATGAGGGACAAAAACTGAAGAGGCAAACATCGGAGGTTTGGGAAGAGACGGGGTCCCCTTCTTGCTGGTGGGAAGCCATCTCTATTCGGACTTAAAAGCGACTCCACTGGGCAATCCCAGCTGGCCTGGTCGGACAGAGTCGGAGAAAGTGGCTTTTACCTTTGAAATCCCTTCGGGGAAAGCGCTTGGTGTTCTGCCACTCGAGTTGACTAGCAGTGAGCCAGTGAACTGAGCATCTCAAGTCCCACTGTCTGTCCCTGCACCCCCTTGGTCCCTGTATCCCCTTTTGGCAGAGCAGCTGCTCCCTTCCTTTTTAGGATGTCTGAGCAGCATGCTGCTGGCTCACTCACCTTCCTGACTTTTTCAGGAGCCGTGTGAAAGAATTAACCGCAAATGGATTATGACCTGAGATCCAAAAGGGATCTGCGGACCTAGGGAGCTCCTGACACCTTCTCAGGGGGCCTGCGAGATCAAAAGCATTTTCCAAGAATCCTGAGATAGCGCCCTGTTCATTCTCCTTCTCTCCTGAGCCCACAGTGGAGCATTCCAGAGGCGACATGCCACGTGGTACCCCAGCCAGGGGAACACAGAAGCAGGTTGGAGAAGCCAGCTGTCTTCTCTGAAGCCAGACATTAAAAAGGGATTTGCAAAAATGTAAGGCAATGCCACTCTTCTCACTAAGCTTTTTGTTTTAGAATATACAGCTTTTTTTTTTTTTAAAGATTTTTTATTTATTTATCTGAGAGAGAGAATGGGAGACAGAGAGCATGAGAGGGGGAGGATCAGAGGGAGAAGCAGACTCCCTGCTGAGCAGGGAGCCCGATATGGGACTCGATCCTGGGACTCCAGGATCATGACCTGAGCCGAAGGCAGTTGCTTAACCAACTGAGCCACCCAGGCACCCCTAGAATATACAGCTCTTTTCATAAGAGAATCACATGTATGTAATCTTGTCACCATTTCAATGAATTAAATGAACATTTCTTAGTTGCAATTTCTTTCTTTTTCTTTCTTTCTTCTTTCTTTTTTTTTTTTAATTTATTTGAGAGAGAGAGAGCATGAACAGGGCAGGGAAGAGCAGAGGGAGAGGGAGAAGCAGACTCCCCGCTGAGCAGGGACAACCCCCCCAATGCGGGGCTCAATCCCAGGACCCTGGGATCACGACCTGAGCCGAAGGCAGATGCTTCACCAGCTGAGCCACCCAGGCGCCCCTTGGCTGCAATCTCTAAATGGTAAATATTGATCAGTACAACCCACATGAGCAAAAAGCTCTTTGGAGCTCTCAATAATTTTAAGAGTGTAAGAGTGAGGCCAGAATGTTTGAGAACCACTGACTTGAAAGTCTTGTTTATTTAGGAGTAAAGGTTGGGGGTTTTGTGATTTGTTATCTATCGGAGCCTAATATTTCCCTGTTGGAACCAACCCTGAAGTGTTGGATGGTCAACAGAAAAGTGCCTGCCTGCACCTTCCAGGAATCATCCGTGTTTCATTAGCCCAGCCCTGCTGCAGAGGGAGACGGGCCAGGCACCCTTGGGGCTCAGGAGGCAGAGGTCCATCCAGCGCTCTCAGGGAAAGCAGTGCGAAGGAAGCTTGTCATGGGGCCCATCACTCTCTCCTTGACAGGACCTCTTCTCTCTTCAAGGATCTCATTTTCCTCTTCTTCTCCCTGGCGCCGCAATTCCTCGCCATTTCCCCTAACACCAGGCTCCTCGCCATGCCCACCACTGTCCATAGAGCCCACTGAGGGGCTTGCTGGCATCCAGCCAGGTCTTCCATTCATCCCTAGCCCCGTGATGGGAGGAGAAAATGAGAGCTGCTGGTACCGCCTGGGCCGGGTGCGGGGTTGCTGGCAGGGTGCCCGGGATGCAGCATTTTGGGGGCGCTTACCCTGGGTGCCCACCCGGAAGGCGCACGGCCCCGAGAGTGGGCGCCCCACTCACCCCCACCAGCCCTGGGAAATACAGTCTACGAAAGAATGCCAAGTCACAGGGGCGGGGGGGAAGATCGCAAGCATGGCTTTAACACCATCTCTTCGGTCTGAAACAATTATGGGGGAGCTTCCTACGACCACCAAAGCGCGGCCTCTGAGGATAGCTTTGGAGAGTTTGCAAAGCAGCTCCAGGGCTTATGGGGTGAGAGACCCCAGCCAGTCATTACTCTCTGCAGCAGGTGGCCGCTGGAGGAGGAAGTGAAAGACGACCCCCCCGGAAGAGCCCTTTGCAAACTTCACATCCCCTATACAAGTTGAGAGGCTGCTCTCATTAAGAGGGATTCGTCCGTTAGATTGTTCGTCACGCTTTTTCAACCACGGCCCACAGTAAAAAATACAGAAACATGTTTTACGTTGCAACCTGATTTTCATACACGTATCAATAACCGAAGCAAAAGTTCCAGAAGACAATCCTTATCTTTATTGCCCACGACACGGTCTACTCTGTCTAGAAAAAGAAAATGCTGCTCACTAATCAGGGGTCTCCGCCCACCCACTGGCCCGCCTGCAGTTGAGAAAACACGAAGATAAAGGACCAGACGGAAGCGCACCTCTGCACAGGATTCTGTATTTCTGTCTTTCACGCAAGGGCTCTCTTTGTGGGAAGCGGCACAGGGACGCTCTGCCCCTGAACGCACCTGAGACTAAAGCGTGGGCTCCAGGGTCTAGTTCAGGACAGAGGCAGGTGCAGGCTCACTGCGTCTGCGTGCTTCAGTGGCCCCAGGATGGTCCAGATCCTGGTGCCTGCCCCTCCTCCCCTATTATCCTAAATTACAGAGCGGTAGGTAGCACAGCGTAGCATCATTTACCTGCACATATTCCCACCAGAAGTCTGGACACAATGATCATCTCAAACGACCGGGCAACCTCACTGCACCCCATTAAGATCGCGGGGACAATGGAGAAGATGTTGTTGAAGAGCAAAGTCCCTTTCCTGCAGAGGACGAAATGTCAGTTAGTCTGGGCGAAGGATTCACGTGTTCATTTAACAGATGTTCACCAAGTTCTGGCCAGTTACAGCAGCGGGCTTTGCTGCTGCTTCCACTGTCTGTGATGGTAGGCTGATAGGGGTCAAGTGCACAGCCTGGTGATAGGGGTCAAGTGCACAGCCTGGTGGGAGCCACAGTGGGAAATGACCACGGTGCAGAGTGCATCGGTGGTGGGGAGCAGAGGGAAAGAGCTGCATACTAGGATACACTCAAGGGTTTTTTGAAATCACCAACTCACATGATGTTAGTGGAATCTTGAAACCAGATCAGGTAAGGACATTAGAAGAAATGTATAGGGCCAACTTCACTGATATCACATAGATGGAAAAATCGTACATGAAATATTAGCAGATTGAATTCAACAGCATATAGAAAATCCTTTCAATGTTAAAACGCCATACAAAATAAAATGCCAGATCTGCCTGGGAAAAACAAAATTGTAACATTATTTTTTAAATTATAGAAGACTGCCCTTGTGACTCCAGGTAGGTGGGGAAGGCTGCCTTCAGACACAAAAAGCAAAAACCATAAATGAGAGTTAAATCTGACCACATGAACATGTAAATATCTTGTATGAAAAAGATACTATGTGTGTGATTAAGCAATAAAGCAACAGATAGAGAAGATACTTGCCTGATAAAACAGTATTGCTTGGAAGGCTCAGAGATGGAATTTCCTCCCAACTGTATAATCTTGGCTAAGTGACAGCATCTCTCTGTGCTGTTTTCCCATTTTGAAAAAGGGGATGGGGCTGTTGTATGGATTGGGGGAATTAAAAACCCTAAAAAAAACCCCTAAAAACCCTAAAAGCCCAAGTTCGGGATAGAGCCTGGCACATAGGAACCCATCAATAAATTGTTAGTTGCTACTGTTGTATAAGGAACAGAACTTTAAGAAAACCACAAACAGCTGAATAGCATTTTTATCACATTCTCAAGCAGACAGCTGGACAAGCAACTGTCCACTCCATCTGTGGACCAAATGGACCAACGTGGACCAAAGTCCTTTACTCAAGGAGACCTGGCCTGCAGATCTGTGACTTGATTGATGTTCTGGCCGGCAGAGAAAACTGCTGAGTTCAACACCAACCTCCCAGGAAGACCTCAGGATCTTAGATCCCAAAGCAGAGGTTGTATGTTTCTAATCTCAGACTCTTTTTTGAAAAATACTGGAGAAGGCGCTGGGTTCTGGCCTTGACTCTCGAGCTAATGACATCTGTGGCCGAGAAGACGATTTGACCTTACCTAGACTCCGTGTGCTCGTTCGTCAAGGGAAGGGGCTGGTGGGGAGGAGCTCTTAAATACCGCTCATACCAAGGCCGCTCTCTCATGCCCATGGAATTTACAGGAGGGAGTGTGATGTCTTAAGGACCTTTTTTGGAATCAAATACATAATCTCTAATGTTTCTAGAATTAGGGGCAAAGATAAAAGCTCTGCCCTTGGCATTCACAACACTCATAGTGAGAGTTGCCCCGGGACCACGCGGTTTCACCCTGGAGTGCCTGACATTAATCTCAGCCATTTCAGAGTTTTCTAGGAATTTAATTTGGGTTAAATTCTGCCTATTACTCGATCTCAAAGTAAAAGAACAGAGCAGTGAGTTTGTGTTTGTTTGGGAGGCAGAGTTCAAGAACGCTGTGCTATGATCTACGTTGGGACTGACATTGTGGCCCTGTTATCTGGTGTTTGACTCTTAAAAAGCAGAGAGAAAAAAAAAAGAGAGAGAGAGGAGAGAACTTGTTTTGGTTTTGGTAAGGAATATACGTGTAAGGCAAGAGAACATAGAGGGAGCGAGTCCTGACTTGTGAAGTATGCTCTGCTCTTTCTGGCCTGCCCCCAGAGCCCGAGACCCACCATACCCACCTCTAGCTCTGAGACCCTGCCTCATCCCCAGACACTTGGTCAGCATCTGGTCTCTTTAAGATCGTATTAGAAAACAGAAATCATCACAATAGTTATTACCTAGTTTTACCAACAACAACAAAAAAAAAACAACTTCAGCTTTAAGCCTAGGTTTGAAATGGTCGGGGTCTAGGATTTTCAGGAGCTGGAAATTTAGCTTGCCTTACCTGCCAAGTTTATTCACCAAGGGGCCAACCATGAGGGAGCCGATGAAGCCTCCAAAGGGGAACATGGACACAGAAACAGACCACAGCAATGTCAAGGAAAACTCATTTATGTAGTTATTGTTGCGTTCATAGTAGGTCTCATTATAAAATGCTTTCATGAGCTGGAGAACAAAGCGGAAGAGAGCACCAAAGTAACTTGACCTGGTTTTGCAGAAAGAACACCGTGAGCTGTTAGGCCCCCCGATGGACGACCTGGGCACACAGACAGTGACACTTGTAAGTGGAAGGGAGAAGGGACAGAGTGGTATGACTAGCAGCTAGCAGGAGCACCCACCTGGGGAGCTGCCAGGCCTCTGATAGGCACCCTGCCCAGGACGTTGCTAACTCCAGTCCTCCAGGCCTTTGGATGACCCCTGACCCTCCAGACTCCTCTGGAGAGTGCAGGGCTGCAAAAGACCAGAGCCCTCACCCGCACCAGCCCCCGTGTGCACAGCCAGGCTTGGCTCCCCATGAGAAGCTGAGGCCGGGGGAGCGGGTTCACCCCCATGGCCTTGTGCCCGCAAGTCATTCCCTTGGGTCTGTGCTGTGTGTCTCGCGCGTACTTCCCTCTCCCGTGACCTGAGGACCCACTGTGCGCCCCAGTGTGCACGTACCACCACCCAGGTGGCCATGTCCGGGCACAGGCTGCTCCAGCCCCCCCGCCACGTTGGTTGGGGGCTGCGTCTCACTCACCCCAGTGACCTACCTCGGCAGGGGAGTTAACGGCGGCCACATTATACCCATACTGGAAGGATGACCCAAATGCGGCTATCAGCGTTGCCAGTAAAAGTATGAGTGTAAGCCTCTGTGGGAGGAGAAATCCTGGCTTAAGTCATAGGAAGCAGCTGCGGTTCAAGGGAACTCCGGATTTACCCTGAAGTCTTATCGAAGGATGCAAGAGAATCTGAAGATTCGTCATCTTTCGACTGCTCCCTGTCTTAAAACCTACCTCTACCCACCTAACCTGGTAGAAAGGTTCCGTGAACCACAGCACTTAGGGCTAAATAATTCTTTGCTCTGGGGGGCTCTCCTGGATGCACCGTAGGGCCACCCGTCCCCTACCCGTGACAACTCAGGTGTCTCCAGCCATTGCTAAATGTCCCCCTGGTTGGGGGAGGCAGCTGCCCCTGAGAACCGCTGGGTCAGAAAGACACAGAAGGCTCACCTTCTCCAACACTACCCAACGCGCAAAATACTTCGCTAACATTCCTACCACAGGGCTATATTTGCTGACGGTAGCAAACACGCTCAAATCCTGCCTCAAACACAAACTCCCCTAAAAATCAGAGGAGAAAATGTGAACAATTGTAATTGTTTATTTATGGCCACTGATTAACTTCCTTTAGCCTCCAGACTTTTGCTGTAACAGGCACGGCGAGAAAATATTTAAATACAGGTTTCTGGGGACTCAAACACGTGTGTTCTGTGATCATAACCCCTTTTGACACAGGAGGAAACCGAACACTTATTTAATGACAAGAGGGAAGTCGTTAGTAAAGTCATGAAAAGCTGGAGAAAAATAAAAGTGAACAAAGCTTTTCTCTTAGAATCTACGGATTTCTTTTCTTTTTCTTTCTTTTTTTTTTTTAAGATTTTATTTATTTGTCGGAGAGAGAGACAGAGAGCACAAGCAGGGGGAGCAACAGAGGGAGAAGCAGGCTCCCCACCGAGCCGGGAGTCCGATGCGGGACTCGATCCCAGGACCCTCAGATCATGACCTGAGCCGAAGGGAGACACTTAGACTGAGCCTGCCTGCCTTCCTTCCTTCGTTCGTTCGTTCGTTCGTTCCTTCCTTCCTTCTTTGTAGGCTTTCCAGGAGGGAAAAAGAAAAAGATCTAGTACTGGGCTGGATTAGGGCACGAGGGGGAAGGGGCCCTAGTCTCCCAGCAGCTTGTAAAAATGACAAGTGGCCTTCAGACATGAAGGGGGGTGGGGTGTCTCCTCAGAGGCCAAGGGGAGCCGTGACTCAGCTATGCTTTTGGGAGAAACCACATGTTCCTTATGCCCACAGTAAACTGGCTTCCTGTTTCCTAACGCCGAACACATTTTGAGACTTAGTAAAATAGCCACGTTCAGGGCCCGTGTTCCAACTGGATGCGATTCAAGGCTGCTGGGAAGGGAGCCCTGCCCCCAGACGGCTCCCTTTGGGAATCTGCTTCCTAGATCCATTCCCGCTGTCCGGAATCTCCCAGGAGAACGCAAATATCTCCAGAAAAGTTAGTTCTTATGAATTATTAACTCTTGGAGTCACTTTCTCACACAATCGATCCCGAAGTTCACAAACAGAAAGGGAGGCCTAGGTGCTGCTGAAGGACGGGAGAGGTGCCTTGTCTTGTGGCTGCGGGGGTTTCCAGCATGGCCGGGGGGGGGGGCAGGGGGTGCAGCCCAAGAGCCTGGAATCGGATCCTTCTCTCCTGTCACTGGCTGTGTGGCCTTGGGCCGGTTACGGAACTTTTCTATGTCTCAGCTCCTTCCCCTGTAAAACAGGGACGGTGCTCCCTCCTTCACAGGACTGAGGTGAAGAATGAATGAGTTCATACATGAAAAACACTTGGAGCCACACCAGCCTTCGAGTGAGCACAGGCTCGCTCTCATCATCATCAACAGCGATCGCACCAGCAGGGAAGTTACTTTTCCCATGATGCTAGGTGTATTGTTGGTGAAGGCACCCCCCAAAATTATGTCTTCATTTTCTAAAACACTTGGCTCATTTTCCCCCCTCCAGGCCAAGAGGCCTTTTTCTCGGCAGAAAAATCCTTGATGCACATTGGTCAGATTCTGGTCTTTTCTCTTTATGTATGAGGAACACAAAGGTCAGTAAGACCACGATCACACAGCCAATGGGGGGACAGAGAGCAAGGGCCCCTTCCATCAGTCCACACAGCCCCAGCTCTCTGCAGGCTTCCCGGGCCCCTCCACTTTTCCTCGGCTCCGAAATCCCCCCTGGGCTTCACTCAGGAATCTGCAGATTCTTACAAGCAGCCACCAAGGGAACCATTTTGTCTTCATGTATCCCAGGAAGTCCAGCACGTGTCCTGGCTTTTGTTCAAAGGGGCAGGTCTGGCCTCAGGCAGCCAGGAAGGGAAAGCCTGCAACCCACCTGCCACTGAAGGACAGGCTTCTTTCCTTGGAGAATCTAGGGGGCAGGTAGCTAGAATCAGCCCAGACCTCCTGCATGTGACCATTTTAATCATGTCCTCTCAAAATATATTGCTTCTTTTCGGGGATCACCACGTGGGGGCATTTCTGTTCTCCTGCAGCCTCACCCGGGGAACAGTTGGCCAGGGTATTCCTCTTTGAAGAGAGGGCACAGACCCCATGAAGGTCTTTCCTGACCCCCAAGCCCCTAAGTTCTTGTCACCTCACGGCCCCTTTTCTATAAAATAGAGGGGTTAACACTTGAGTGGTCTCACACTTTCTTAGTTGTCACGAGAGTCAAACAGGATCCACGTGAGGGTGCTCAGTAACCTCGAAAACTCTAATTCTCGCAGGACAAGAACGCCAGTCCCCCATTGCAAAGAATCATCTGGCCCCAAATGTCATTCACGTCCTGCTCTGAAGGATGAGCAAAAGTAATAACATTTATGGGGGACCCACTAGGGGCCAGGTCATTTACATGCATCATCTCATTTAACTGGTCCAGCAGCCCTATGAGGTGGTATGGTTATTATTCCCATTTTACAGATGAGAAAGCTGAGGCACAGAACAGTTAAATAGCTGTTTAATAATCTGCACAAATATGTACCTCTGCCTCCACAAATATAAGCAAATGTGGTTGCGATGCATAAAATGCAAATTCCTTACCAGTGTTCATAATAAATTCATATGATCTGTCATTATGCATTTTCCTCAATCAAGAGACTCTCAAAGCACAGCTGAAATTCTATGAGTGAGGGGAGTGGGGTAGGAGGGAAGAGGTCCAGAAAAATCTGTCTCAAAAACAGGGGAGCCTCTCTCATCTGAAAGGGTGGGAATCTCCGCTACAGACGTGAATTAGATTCGAGTCTTGCACAGTCTTTTCTGCGTCCACCTTCTTTCCACGCCGGCCTAGCCATGTGACTTGCGGAAAAAACGAATGAAAATGTTCGGAAGCCCAAATCAAAACAAATGATCCCCGACCAATCTCTAAAATCGAAATGTCCCCTAAATCTGTCCTTTAGGACGCCTGGGTGGCTCAGTCGGTTACGCGGCTGCCTTCGGCTCAGGTCATGATCCCAGGGTCCTGGGATCGAGTCCCGCATCGGGCTCCTTGCTCGGCGGGGAGCCTGCTTCTCCCTCTGCCTGCCTCTCCCCCTGCTTGTGTTCTGTCTCTCTGACAAATAAATAAATAAATAATCTTAAAAAAACAAAAATAAATCTGTCCTTTAGTCCCTGTCAAAGTGAACTCTGAGGTTCCCTCCAAAGGAAGGGAGGTGATCCGTTCCCCTGCACAGAGCTCCCCAGAATGCCCCCCAGGAATGCCCCCCACCCCCACCCCAGCAATCCTGAGCAGGCCTTGACGGCAGGCCGCTCCATGCTCCTTCTTTCCCTGGGAGGCCCACTTACCCCTTCCTTCTTGGTCGGATTCTGTTGCTCCATCTTTGGTCTGCGCGAGCGGACTGCTGCCGAACGCCTTTCAGCCAAGATAACAAATGCACTGAAGGGAGAGGGGAGACATTCGGGCTGTACTTTGGCCACTCCGAGGAACAGCCAATAGCGTTTCTGTAGCCAGCCCCAGAAGGCATAACCCTTCAGGAGTCCAGAGGTGTGTCTTCTTGCACGTCTCTTAAATTCAAAGTCTGGGGTTTAGCTCAGTGAGCGGGCGCCCCCCCCAGGCCTGCAGGCACGGCACCCTCCTGACTGGGACAGTCCGTGACGTCTGCTCACTTCGAGACCCTTCACTAGGCAGGCTCGTGATGAGTGGCTGCAAGAGTTATTTCCGACACAGACACACGAAAAGCCTCTGGCCCCATATTACACCAGGTAACGCAAGGCCAAGAGTCAGGGTCACCAGAGGTTTCTCAGAAGTGGTCCCTGCCAGGGCGCCTGGGAGGCTCAGTTGGTTAAGCGACTGCCTTCGGCTCAGGTCATGATCCCGGGGTCCTGGGATCGAGTCCCGCGTCGGGCTCCCTGCTCGGCAAGGAGTCTGCTTCTCCCTCTGACCCTCCCCCCTCTCATGCTCTCTATCTCTATCTCATTCTCTCTCTCACATAAATAAATAAAATCTTTAAAAAAAAAAAACTTTCCTTAAAAAGATCCCTGAAGGGGCACCTGGGTGGCTCAGTCATTAAGCGACTGCCTTTGGCTCAGGTCATGATCCTGGAGTCCCGGGATCGAGTCCCGCATCGGGCTCCCTGCTCTGCAGGGAGTCTGCTTCTCCCTCTGACCCTCCTCCCTCTCATGCTCCCTGTCTCTCATTCTCTCTCTCGCAAATAAATAAAATCTTAAAAAAAAAAGAAGTGGTCCCTGCCAGGAAGCCTGCAGCCAGTCTCTCGGAGAGTCAGCTTTTCCTCAAATAACCATGCCACACTTGCTCAGAGAGGTTTGGCTTTTTTTTTTCCTTTGTGAGGAACTGAGGGGCCTAAAGATGCGACTTTATGTGTAACCACCACTACTGCGAAGGCAATAAATAGTTCAGGTGCCTTTATCTACAGGGCAGGGAAAGTGAGTGACGGCTGCTGCTGGCCTGGGTCTGCCGTGCGTGAACAGGCCACAGCCCGCCTCCTGCGCTCAGCACGCGTCCATCCGCCATGGGGCACATGAGCTCAAGGGGCCAAGATCCAGAGCGGAGTCCCACAAGGCCCACAGGCTTTCCTCTTTATGGGATATATTTCCTGTTTTACTTGCTGCGGCACAAATCCAATTCATTCAGCCATTCCTCTCCCTCCTTCCCAAATATTTTTTTTTAAGATTTTATTTATGTGTCAGAGAGAGAGAGAGCACAAGCAAGGGGAGCAGCAGAGGGAGAAGCAGGCTCTCTGCCGAGCAGGGAACCCGACGCGGGGCTCGATTCCAGGACTCTGGGATCATCACCTGAGCCGAAGGCAGACGCTTAACCCGCTGAACCACCCAGGCACCCCACCCCCCTTTCCCAAATAAACAGTTAACTGGGAGCCCACCATGTGCTGGGCACCGTTCCTATAATAGTAGCAAGCTTGGGAATTGTGACCAGGAGACTGTGAGGAGGGTGACAGAGAGCCTCTGTATGTGTGTGTTGAGGGCCCCCGTGCCCCCCTCACAAGGGAGGATTGGCCATTTTTCCCCACCAGCTCGTTCCCTGTCCTTTCCTTCTGTGTCACAGCATGATGCCCAATGAAGGTTTGGCAAGACCAGAGGTTCCCGATTATTTCAAAGAGTTGTGAAGAATTCTCCAAAGAAAATGTACTTTAGGGGCGCCTGGGTGGCTCAGTTGGTTAAGCGACTGCCTTCGGCTCAGGTCATGATCCCGGAGTCCCGGGATCGAGTCCCGCATCCGGCTCCCTGCTCAGCGGGGGGTCTGCTTCTCCCTCTGACCCTCTTCCCTCTCGTGCTCTCTGTCTCTCATTCTCTCTCTCTCAAATAAATAAATAAAATCTTTAAAAAAAAAATGTACTTTAGTTGGGGTGGGGGGTAGGGAGTAAAGGGAAGGACACAGATTGTGCAAACAAAAAGAACCGGCCTCAGCTGGCAGTCCTGAGTCATGCTCAGGCCCACCCACCCCTGGCCTCCTGTGTGCTTGGGGAGGTGTTGGGGGTGGACAGGGGGAACTCCCTGCCCAGCGTCTGACCTCCCCAGCCCGAGCGAGGCCCTACCTGCCTCCTGTGGGATCCAGGCTTTGCGGGCACGGCCATGTGTCACCGGTGCCCCCGCGTGGCCAGCCAAGGAGTGCAGACCCACCACGGGCCCAGTGGCTCCAGTCCCTCGGCTGGGCGCCTGCCCCTGGGAGCACCCAGGAACGCGCCCAAGGGCTCGGGGCTGCACCCCCTGCAGGTGCTGTGTGTCCCTGCTCGGTCCCTCCCAGCCTGGGGACCCGGCCCAGCAGCCTGGGGTCTCCGGTGGCCACTGGGCCCGTGGAGGGGCCGTTGGGCTCAGGGGATCTGGGCGTTCAGATGGGGGAACGGCCCGCCGGTTGGAAGCACACCCCTGGCAGGCTGATTTGGGGTGTGTGGCCTGCACCCTACCCCTGTAAGTGGTCTCTGAGTGGGGTGGGGGGTCTCAGACTCCGGCCTCTGGGCCTTGCCCTCCCCGCCCAGCCCCAGTCTGGACTAGGAGAAGAACCTGCCATCTGAAGCCTATTTTCGCCTTGTAGTTTAAAATGACACTAATGAACGGCACTGATCGACCCAAGGACAGGCTGAGGTGTGTCCCAGGATCATGTACAAGTATTTCCAAGAAACTGCACATGTTTTGAAACTACCTCTACCGAGAGCCAAGGAATCCCTTTTAAAGGGAAAGTGGACAGTTACAGAGCCATACTTGGTCCTGGCAGGGCACTCGTGACGCTCTTCCCACCTTTCATACAGTTTGGGTCATCACAGGGAAATTTTATTAGGATTTTATCATTGAGGGAGAGAAGGACCCAAGGAGGACCATGTATAAGGTCCTCCGTAACCTCTCACCATGCAGGAAGTGCTGGCTAGGGACCCTGGCATGAGGATTTGGGTCTCAGATCTCAACAGCCAAAGTGTTATTACTAACATAAAATGTAAATATGTTAGTACACAATTTTAGAAGACTTATCAGAATCTGACAACAGTGATTATTCTGGGATGTGAGATCACAGGTGATTTTGACCCCAGCATATATTTTATTTTGTTTATTTATTTTTAAAGATTTTATTTATTTATTTGACAAAGACAGAGACAGCGAGAGCAGGAACACAAGCAGGGGGAGTGGGAGAG